CCCCTGCCTTCTTTCCATAATTCAATTAATGACGAGCAGAGAGACACGTGAGAAAAAAAGGATCTACAACAAGATAACTGACATTTTATGACCCGGAAATATTCCTACCTCATCACTGATGCGGCGGAATTCGATCCGAGGCGTATTAGGAGCTTCTTCGTCGACCGAACCCTCAGTGCTGCGGTTATCTGAAAAAAGCGGCTCAGTATCCTCCTCCTCCTCAGCCAGTGATAACAAAGTCGGTAATCCAGTGCTATGCAATGCTTCTCCTCTTCCATCGACCATTTTAGAAGCATTATTACCATTTTGTGGTGTTTGCTGCGCTCGGGCAACATGCTCCAGCGACCGAATGGAGCTCGTCTTTTGACATGTATGAACAATCTGAAAAATGCACTTACAGCGATAAAATAGTAGTAGTTCAAAATAGCAACCGTTCGTTAGGCTAAATTAGAAGCTTTCTAGACTGCCACAGCTACCAGGGCAGTGGAAGTAGGGAAAATTCGGCACAGATAGCAATGTTAACACTGTAGAAAACTCTCTTCCGCACACCCGGTCGCTCTCTTCTCCCCAGCAGCCCCACTCCCCTCCCCTCTTCCCGATAATCGTCCCACTGTCCCCTCTCCCCTGCTCGTCGACCCCCCCCCCCTCGGCGGTCGTTCTGAATCCGCTCTTGTTTAGGCGACAAATTGGTACTGCGGCGAGCCTAACCTGCAAAAAAGACAACGATCTCCAGTCGGCTTCTCAAGTAACAGATGGAAGAAAGGAAGACTGCATCCGTTCCATCGATTATCGTTGCTAATGAAAAAATTTATCATTTGGACCAACTTTCAGTATACTTCAAAGAAAGCAAAATAATGAGACCGAATGACCCGGAGAGGGAAAATTAACCTCTTCAACTAGAAGTATCAGAAGAAATCCAATCAAAACGATCAATTCCGAGTTCAAAAATATGCCCGAAAGATTATGTTGGCCAGACCATGCGCTCCTTATGTGCTGCTCGTGCATTCGTACGTGTGGTAGCAAACCAAGGAAACACGTCGCCAAGAAGAGACCACATGCGAAACAGTTGCATAACGAGATTAAATGAGAAGTTCTCCTGAAACAGCAGCAACAGGGAGTAAATCTTAATCCTGGCTTTCTGTTAAACACCTTCAACCGGCATTCTTCTCAAGGCAGCTTCCAGGTCAACCCTGGAAGCGCAGGTGGTTGGATGGGCAAGTGCAGGAGAAAGTAATGAAGGTTGGTTTCATGCTGAGCATGAAAAAAACAAGTACTCTACTAAAAGTGAAAGAAAAAA